TTCTCCCTCGGTTTAGGGTTTAGGGTTTAGGGTTTGGGGTTTACGGTTTAGAGTTTGGGGTGTAGGGTTTCGGGTTTAGGGCTCTTTTCCCTGAACCCTTTCTTCTGAACCCTAAACCCTTGCATGACTGGTAGGGTAAAGAACTCACGGCTTGAGGGAGGTTGGGGCGCTCTGTGCCCTGTCTTGGGCTCAAGGGCTTTTCTAGGGTTTGGGGCTTGCACAGGCTAGTCTTTCCCTAAACCCTAAACCCAAAATCCTGAACCCTAAAACCCTAAAACCCTGAAACCCTAAAGAGGCTCTGGGCGCTCACTGTGGAAGGTTCTCATGCCTGCCCCGCAAATCCCGTCTCCCACTTTGAGACACGCAAGTGGTTGAACCCTATAAGCCTTTACTAAACCGTTTTGCAACCGCCTTCTTCATGCACTACTTAAACCCTGCCCTGACCTACTCCTGAACCCTAAATCCCAATAATATAACACCCTCAAAACCCTAGACAACCATATCTCCGAAGCGCTACAGCCTAACACCCCAAAACGCTTAGCCCTGATAGCGTAACACTCGGAAGACTCTGGAAGCCCCAAGATTCCGGTACACGTGTGCGCGCGCCTTTGCTTTGGAGCTCCTTGAGGGCCTCCTCCTGGGCTTTCCTCGTGGGGTTATATATATATATATATATATTTTTTTTTTTTTTTGTTGTTGGGGGGGGGGGGGGGGCTGTTTTAAGCTTTAGGGCTCTTTCAGGTTTAGGGTTTCTTTTTGGGATTTAGGATTTAAGCTGTGGGGGATTTCTAAACCCTAAAAGGACCGTTTAGAACTTGTAAAACATTGAACCCTAAACCCTAAACCCTAAACCCTAAACCCTAAACCCTAAACCCTAAACCCCAAAGACTCCGAACCTGTTCCTGTGGAGGCGGGAGCTTTCGGTCTCCGAGGCCCAAGCCAGGGCGCTTGGAGACTGTAGCTGGTTCTTAGTAGGGAATGAGGGAATGAGGTACCCTATATAATCCTTTAAAGGTACATATGTATATGTTTGTTTTATATATAGGTACCCTATATAATCCCTTAAAGGGTATACATAGGGTACCTTATTCCCTCCTTCCCTACTAAGAACCAGGGAGAACTTTGGAGGTTCGAAGTTTGCAAGCTCGTCGCGCAAGTTGCGTGGCCTCTCGCGTCGAAGCCTTGCTGGGTACTAGTAAGGTTGCATGTAGCTGAGCAGCCTTGTTTAGGGTTTAGGGTTTAGGGGTTGAGGGTTGAGGGTTTAGGGTTTAGGGTTTGGGTTTCTCCCCTCGCAGCAATATTTGCCAAGGCACCCAGCTGCTTGTCTGAGACGGTACACAGCGCACTCAAGACTTACATCCTGCAAGATTAACCCTGGCTCAGCAGACTTGGCATGTCAGCAGCCCTTCAATCCCGAAGCCCTAACCGAATCTCGAGCAGGGTTTAGGGTTTAGGGTTTAGGGTTTAGGGTTTAGGGTTTAGGGTTTAGGGTTTAGGGTTTAGGGTTTAGGGTTTAGGGTTTAGGGTTTAGGGTTTAGGGTTTAGGGTTTAGGGTTTAGGGTTTAGGGTTTAGGGTTTAGGGCCCTCTAGAAAACCCCGATTCTTAAAACTCAAAAACCTGGTGACTTCTGCTGCCAAGCCGCAAGCCAGCGGAGAGGAGAGTTAACGGATAGGCCGCGATGGCAAAGCCTTGCTTGTGGATCATTTGGTGGCGTTTGGTTGGTTAGTTCCCTGATTGGTGGGCGTGGTCGCTTTTCAGTTTCGAGAGGTCGCACTATGAGAGGGACCCAAAGAAAGAACCACATGAGAGAGAGCGAGAGAGAGAGACAGGGAGAGAGACAGAGACAGACAGGCACAGAGAAGGAGAGAGAGCGAGCGAGCGAGCGAGCGAGCGGGAGAGCTGACCAAATGAGTCAGGCTTTGCAGCCTTGCAATGAGAGACTCGGGATTGTAGGAATGTGTAGGAGTCAGGGTTCAGTGCTCAAGGACAGAAACTTAATCAGTTGCTGAGTTCATAAGCCCCAAAAAAGTGTACACTTTCAGTTCTGTAGGAGATAAAAGTACCCCAAAACGTGTAAAGTGTGCCCACTCAGCTACTGAGGAAAAGCTCAGGAACTGCCATTTAGTCAGGAACCTTCGATCCTCAGACCGAACCTTGCACCAGAGCCAGGCAGCCGATCTGGTGCAGACGCTCATGCGGGAGGAAGGGTGTCTTGCCACTGGGTAGCATGTTCACCTGGATTGTCGGGTTTAGGGTTTCTAGGGCTTAGGGCTTAGGGTTAAGGGCTTAGGGTGTAGGGTTTAGGGCTTAGTTTGTAGGGTGAGCTGCCCCTAAACCCTAAACCTTCGTCCACCTCAACGCCCTCGACAGTACGGGGTGGATTGTGTACCTGGAGGATCACCACCCTACACCCTGCTTCTCGCAATCCATCATGCTACAAAAGGTAGTCTTTCTGTAGGAGACCTTCCTTACATTGGCTTTTACCTGCGTTGGACCCTGCCTTAAACCAACGGCCCATAAAGGCATCAAGCCAGTCCACAGGCAACACAAAAAGACGCTCCAAAGCCCCAAAACCCTACACCTTCACACCCTTCCCCACCCTCAGGCAATTCGTCTAAAATCCTGCTTTCTGGCAGCGGGCCATCTTGTAACCCGGCACTTCACTGCAGTACCTGCGAGGGCTTCGGCGTTTGAGCGTGCAGGTTCGGAAGCCTTCACTGGCCAGCTCGGCTTAGGGTTTGCCTAGACTCTTAATTGTATTTAATTGTTTTAGTGTTAGCTGTTCTCTGAACATATCAGACTGTTCATAAATAAGGCACCGCAAGCAGGAACTATACCTGTGCCAATTGTTGAGGTCATTTCGTGGGGATTCTAAACACTAAAGCGAGAACCCCACAATAATGCTTGGGGTTTTGGGGTTTTGGGATGGGAAACCCTCACACTGTTGGCGTCGAACTGCCTGCAGATAGGGCGTTTGTTCCCAGCCCGTCAAGTAAGTTTGCAAGCTGGGATCCCTAGGTTTCTCCTATCCCAGGGGTCCATGCACCGATATTTTAGGGTTTAGGGTTTAGGGCTTAGGGTTTAGGGTTTAGGGCCTTAAACAGAGGTTCCTAGACAGAAGGGTCTTTGTTCGGGATTTGGTTCTCTAGTAGCAAGAGAGTTTGTATAGGGCTTGAGGGTTTAGGGAATAGGGTTGCACGTGCCAGCATAACTTCAAGAGAACTCTGCATTGCGAGGCCTGGGTTCACCGGAAATGACGACATGAGCAGTTGCTGCTTCAAAGCAGCAACCCATGTTGGGCTGCCTTGAATTCGCAAATCCGACACCTTAAATAGCTAAGGTAGGGGTCGGAATAATCACGAATAGTATTCCCTTCCGGTCCCTTTATAAATATACTATAATAACCCCCAAAACCCTATTTTAATCATTAAGGCCTTATTTATGGTAAACCCCATCTGGTCCCTTTATAAATATACTATAACAAATCCCCAAAACCCTATTCGAAGTATTCAGGCCCCTAGAGTGTACCCCAAGACCCTCATTGCACAGCACAGGAGCGTCTCAACAGCATGATGCACTTGACACAAGTCCTTCTGAAAACTTCCGCCCCGAACCTGAAGCTTCAGCGTGCTGCAGGGTTCGCGCTTAGGGTTTTAGGGTTTTAGGTGGGTTTAGGGTTTAGGGTGGGGGTTCCTTTGCGGGCTTTAGGGCTTGGGATTTGACCTTTTTTTCACCACGAGAGTCTGCTCAGCCATGAAGCAATTCGCCTCAGCCCATGATACACGCATGAACCTCACGAACACGTAGACCCTAAAAAAGCCATGCAAACCCTATAAACCCTAAACAAACTTATATAAACCTTAACAAAAACCTTATGAACCCTTAGAGCCCTTCTAAATCCTACAAACCCCAACTACCCTATAACCCTTGAACACCCTGCGCACCCTAAAACCCCTGTAAACCCAACAAAACCCTAGCATCCCCATACCCCTAAACCCTAAACCCTAAACCTGCGAAGTTCCCTACAGCACCCTAAACCCTAAACCTTAAATCCTAAATCCTAAACCCTAAGCCCCAAACGCTAAATCCTAAACCCTAAACCCTAAACCCTGCCTGACCATCTCCTCTTCACTGCGGGGAGCCTGTGCTTGACCCACTGGTTCGGAAAAGGGAGGTTTCGGTTTTTTTTTTTTTGGGGGGGGGGGGGGGGGGGCGGGGGGGGGGGGGGGGTATGGGCTTTAGATGGGTTTCTAGGGTTTATGACTTTGTCTTAACTCACAAACCATAAGATGGCAACCCCAGCTCGCTTTAAAGCCTGTGGTCCTCTGAAGGAACGCTAAAGCGTCAGGTTCTCAAAAGAGGGTAGGAGAGTGGCTGCATGAGTGAGGTGGGTGAATGGTAGTGGCTGACAGTTGACAGAGTGTGAGTGATCCGAGGGCCCCCAAGACGGTGAACAGGGGACCCAACAGCGCTACCCTGCATTCTGAACACCAACTCATCATCTGCACATCCTTTCGGCCCTATCCCTGCTGGATTTTGGGACGCGTTCGTGAAAGAACCACTGGCTTTCTCAGCTTACTTTGTGCTTCTGTGGATATCAGTATATGCCAATGAAGCACGGGTGGGGAGGCAGGAGGAACCCTGAACCCTAAACCTTAACCCAGAGCCCCAAAGTCTAGAACCCACCACACAATGAAGCAACGAAGGACTCGCAGGCCTCCAGGAAAGTGATGTCCGCCCCTGCCTGCACAAATGCCTTGCGTTCAGGGTTTGGCTAAGGCCTTTCTCCACCAATCCCTGCAAACTCTACTGCTTGCAGTTTCGGGTTCGGAGTTTAGGGTTTAGGGTTTAGGGTTTAGGGTTTAGGGTTTAGGGTTTAGGGTTTAGGGTTTAGGGTTTAGGTGGGTCTGACTCTACATGTCAGGACTGCGAACAAATCGGAGTGACAGTGCTTAAGCGAACGCCGCTTTATCCTGCGCCCGTGCCACGCTTCCCTAACTTACTGGCACGGCTGCGTAACGAAACAGCCGTGAGAGCGTTTGAAGCCCCTCATCGACCAGGCCTGTTCAGATCCTCGCGTCATGCCAAGCAACTTTCGGCTACAATAAGTTTGAAGATCACGCCGGCACAAACGACTGTATTGCTCGCGACCGCGGGCATCGCCTAAGTATGCATGATGTCCATCAGCCCACACATGGTCAAAAAACTTTCTGACAAAACAGATGTATCACATATCAACGCACGATGGCAGTGTCAACGTAGTGTCCGTGGCCTGCTTGACTAGTTTTAGGGCTTAGAAATTGCCCACAATGTGCATTCATCCTGCTCTCTAAACTTGCTGAAAAGTCGGAAACCAGGAGCGGCAGCCACGCGACAGGAATTTCGGTCTTGGTACTAAGAGACAAACGTGATGTCGTCAAATTTCTGAGTTGGCGCAAGATGCACAACTCCGAGTGGCTCTGTTGCAGGGTTTACGGTTTAGGGTACCCTTTAGGGTCCATTTGTAGTACTATTATGGAATTACATACCCAGAAACCCGATGTTGTGCTTAGGTTTGAGGGTATGGCTTTTGGGTACCTATTTCCTGAATAGTGCTACAAATGGATTCTCTGGAATTGTGAACACACGCACTAAACATCAAACTTCTGCCTTCTAGCGCCAAAAATGGACATTGACTGTAATGCGTAGTATAAGGGCCTTAATAAATAGAATGAGGTTATTTGGGGGGCTCTTCTGGCATAAATATATAGCGATTCCGACCCTTGTCATTGGGGTTCGATGACTTTCAGGGCTGAATGAGATTTTCTAAAGATCTACATAGCATCGCCTGTTAGCCCCACCACAAATTAGGGTTTAGGGTTTAGGGTTTATTTTCCAGCACGCAGACAAGTAACAATAAACCCCGACGATACACAAACCTCAAAAACGCAGCAACAAGACCCTCAGATCCTAAACCCTAAACCCTAAACCCTAAACCCTAAACCCTAAACCCTAAACCCTAAAGCCCAGTAGTAGGTAGTAGAAGGTATACACATTTTCGAGGCTCCCCGGTTCCGCAGGACTTGGGTTTCGGGATGCTTCCGAACATTGAGCAGGCTGGCATCCGTGGGGGTGCAAGCAGCCACGCTCTGGAGCTTCATGTTCAGGGTTTAGGGTTTAGGGTTTAGGGTTTAGGGTTTAGGATTTAGGGCACGTTTGATACAGTTGCAAGACCATAGTGTGTGTGTGTGTGTGTGCGTGCGTGCATGTGTGTGAATTTCCAGGTCTTCTCATACCATTCACTTGTCACCGTGACATTGAGGAACGTTCATGCGACCATATGCTGGCGCGAGGACCACACCGGATCACTTAAGAAACTCTTGGGAGCGAAGTGAACAACGTCTCTTCTTCTACTTCTGAGCAAGCTTCCCTAAACCCTAAACCCTAAACCCTAAACCCTAAGCCCTAAGCCCTAAGCCCTAAGCCCTAAGCCCTAAGCCCTAAGCCCTAAGCCCTGAGCCCTGAGCCCTGAGCCCTGAGCCCGATAAACCCTAAACTCAAAACCCTAAACCCTAAACCCTAAACTTCAAGCTCTAAAGCCTAAGCCCAGAAACCGGAAATGCCTTGATATGTGTTGCAAGGCGGCCGGGCATTGGAAACGAAAGTACTGCGAGCGAAGCGTGCTTGATTCTCGCTGTCCAGTGCATACAAGGTAATCAACCATTCAACGGGTGGACTCTGAACCCTAAACCCTACTTTGCAGTACTGCCTGGAAAAGAAGTTATATGTTTTTAAGGTATAAGTAGCTATAATAGGAACCCAGAACCATCAAAAGGTATCAAAGGGTAGTACTCCAACACCCAGAAAACCCTGTTTGCAAAACCCTGAACTCATACCCTAGAGCCCCCGCACCCATAAGCCCATCTTGCAGGCTCTAACCAGACAACAAGAAAGTGCCGCTTCGGACCAAGACTCATAGAGGCCCTAAGCCCCAAAGACATACTGAATCCCCAACCCCACATACTGAACCCTTAAACCTCTAAACTCCTAAGCCCCTACACCCCTAAGCCCCTACACCCCTAAACCTCTAAAGCCCTCAACCCCTAAACCCGCGACGGTCAGTGGGCCTTGCAACGTTCCAAAGCCTCATCCAGTCCAATGGAAGCTCGAGCATCTGTGCGTGCCTCGCAATGGCAACGGCATCTTTCCAGGGGTTCTTACGGAACTCGAACATCAGTTGCCCCAATGGTTTAGGGCTTCGGGCATTTAAGGCTTTATTAAGGGGTATCAGGAGGGATCCCAGAAGGGACCCTTAATCTTATTCCCCTATATAACCATTATACATACCTCATATACTACCGATATACCTAAGTAGCCCCTAAATAATCTCCTTGAGTCCCTTAAGTTTAAGGTAGAGTTGCAAAAAAAAATCAAGTTTAGGGTAGAGTATCCCTATACAAGGCTTGCGACTGGCCCTCAGAAAGATTCAACGAATAAAATTGGACTCGGCAATTTGAGCCTGCCCCCCGAAACCCTTTCAAAAGCCCTTGTCAGCCCTGAACCCTAAACGACCCTCAGCCCTAAGCCCTCAGCCCTAAGCCCTAGACACTAAACCCCCCCGCCCCCCCCAGACGCGTTCCGGGGTGCCATGATGCAGATGTCCCAGGGACCTTCGTCCCGGGCGTCGCACGCAGCTTTGACGCGCGCAAGAGCCTGCGAGGGGTCTTCCGCAGAGGTTTCCATACCGTTTCAAGGTTGGGGTTTAGGGTTTGGGGTTTATATAGGGGTTTAAGGTTTAGGGTTTAGGGGTTTGGGGTCTAATTAGGGTTTAGGGGTTTAATTAGGGTTTAGGCTTAGCAACAGAGGGTTGTCCTCGGCCCTTCTTTGACCCTCAATTCAGGTTTGTTTATCTGAAAAGGGGCCTATGAGACTTGGAAAGAAGATAGTTGGAGGCGTCTTCCTTGCGGTGGCCACAGTCCACCTCTTCCTTCACCCCAACTTCCGGCCCAACAAATTTCTGAGCAACCCTAGACTACCCTAAACCCTAATTAAACCCTATATGCTCTACCAATGTTAAACCCCAAACATTGGCCAGTACTCCGTAAAACTCCTAAGCTTCCCCGTTCCCCTTCAGGACTTCATAACTCCAAGAAGCCTCTCCATTCAAAAAGCACGTGCACAAACTCTGCTGCAAAAGCCTTTTCGCCACCTACTTACAGAGCAAACAAGCCCTCAGCCCTCAAACCTAAAACCCTCAGCCCTTGGCTAGGAAACCCGCAGGCCAAAACCTTGGAACCCTAAACCCTAAACCCTAAACGCTAACCCCTAACCCCTATAACCCGAAACCCTACACCCTACACCCTAACACTTCATCGCAGACCTCGGCGCGGCTGACCACCATGGTCCCTTTTGTGTGCCCACAGCGCTTGGGGGCCACCTCAGGTATGCTTAACAGATGACCCTAAACCCTAAGCCCTAAGCCCTAAGCCCTGAACCCTGATAGTTCTGGCTCAGGGGCTTGTTTGGTGTTGGAGGGCTTCAGGGTTCAAGGGCTCAAGATAGGGTTTAGGGTTTAGACAGGGGGTTGGACTCTGTTCATCGAACTCGGCACATCATCAGTAATTATGCGCTACTAAGAAGCAAGCCTTATGGCTCTGAAGCCCTTAAACCCGAAACCCTAACCCCTAAGCCCGAAACCCGAAACCCTAGCCCTAAATCCTAAACCCTAAACCCTAAACCCTAAACCCTAAACCCTAGCCCTAAACCCTAAACCCCTACAACGAAGCCCTGCCTGGTCTTCGATCATGACGCCGGACCTGGGAGTAGGGGTATAGACGCAAGCCTTCAGGCATTCACCGAAACCAACAGCTGCCAAAGCAGTTCATATAAACCCTAAACCCTAAACCCTAAACCCTACACCCTAAACCCTGAGTCTCTAGAGGATGGAAGACATGATCTTACAAGTTGTTGAGGAAGAATAGAAGGGACTGAGACAGACATCCCCTAATTCATTGCTCTACTACGAGCCGAGAAGCCTTGAGGCAAGCCACCCTAGACCCCTCCAACCACACCCAAACCCTAATGACCCTAAACCCTTTTTTGAACCCAGACTCTGTACGCTGGGGCGATGACAATTCCATCGACTTACAGACTTACATCCAAGAACACTAAATGCGGCATCCAAGAGAGTCAGCACGCAACCTCAACTAACCCTAAGCCCCAAACCCCAAACCCCAAACCCTAAACCAACCACTCGGCAGTAGGTTGCCCCGGTCCCCCCAACCTCTTAAAGGTTCGGGGGGGGGGGGGTGGGGTACTTGGAGGTTCAGGTACTTATAACCACAATTACAACTGTACTTATAAGCCCCCCTAAGTCCCCGAAGTAGGTTATAAGTAGGTTTCTGATTGTGGTTACAAGTACCCATGAACCTCCAAGTAGGGATTTGGCAGCCTCTCAAGGTCTCAGAGGATTTACGGTTTAGGGTTGGCTGAACTGGGCCTCGCAGGATGCAAATCTGAGGCATAGGGTTTAGGGTTTAGGGTATAGGGTTTAGGGTTTAAAGTTCGGGGTTTCGGGGTTTCGGGTTTCGGTTTAAGGTCTCAGGAGACCCTGATGTTTAGCCTGTGCCACAGTGCTTCCCAGCTCTGAAGGTTGGGAGCCACAGCGGCCAACTGTCAGATCCCTAAAGCCTGAGCCCTAAACCGACCCGAAACCCTAAACCCTAAACCCTAAACCCTAAACCCCAAACCCCAAACCCTGAATCCTTCTTTTGTAAGGTTTCCGAAGGTTGCTTCATCATAATCCGCAGACTGCTGGGTTTGGGGATGCTGAGGTACCCCTTCAAAGTCCCCACGCAGTGCCGTCGATGAAGGTGCTAAGTTTGTTGGGTTACGGGGTCTCTCTCACAATTTTTTCTTGGAGGCTACAGACATAGCGAGTGCTTTGCACTCTAATCAAGGGTTTGAGGGTTTAGGGTCTTAGGGTTTAGGGAAAGTCTAGGGTTTAGGGTTTTAAGAGCCCAAGGGACATACCAGCTTGGGCATATCCCCGCACCGTGCGCTTCACGTTCACCGCGTTGCCGTAGCCTAGGCCACATTCGTCGGAAAAGCAGCCCTCCCCCTTGTATTGGGAATCTGCCAACGCCCGCCACTATCAAATACATGTTCCGATTATTCAAGCAGTTCCAATTGGGGTTTTCTGTCGTTCTGCCAGTGGGAGTTCGGGTTGGGGATGTACTTTGGCCCTGACGAGCGAAGGGCTGCGGGCCGAGAACAAGGGAGCAGCTTGGGAAAACAACTTGTTTCAGGGCTGTAGGCCCTCGCACTTCGAGCCCTCGTGGCTATACGCCCTTACTCAGCTCCATAGCCCAAAGCGACGTGTTTCAACGACAAGTCCTCCGAAATCCTCAGAAACACACTCTCGGAGAAATCCTAAACCCTATAAACCCTATTTTTCGAGCAAAGCAGCAACTCAAGCCCTACAGCTTAAAGTTTAGGGTCCAGGGGGGTCAAAAGGCAGCCTCACAAACCCCCCAAAAAATCAAAGCGCAGCTGTCCGGGCCTCAAACGGTTCAGGGCTTCCGAGGCTACACCCTAAACCCTAAACCCTAAACCCTAAACCCTAAGCCCTATCCCCTAGCCCCTGAACCCTAAACCCTAAACCCTAAACCGCTTCTGTTCTCTCCTGAAACCTGAAATCCCAAAACTGCGACCGCGGGGCCCGTGTCCCCGTCGCCAATGCAGCAAATGCTCTCCAAGGATCCACAGATGCGGAACGCAGCATCCAGCATCTCCTCATACATACAAAAAAGATACATACATTGGCTCTATATGTGCATAGAAATATACACATATAAATAAATAAATTAAGTAATTAATTAATTAAATTAATAGATAGATAGATATATATATATATATAAGCACAGATGGAAACAACAAACGTGTTCAGTACGTAAGTTCCAGAGCTTAGCGGGCAACTCGGCCAAATTGGGTTTGGGTTGCTGGCTTGGAGGGGGGTTGCCTTCCTGGCCTCAAAGGAATAGAGAGGGCATTTCAGGCTGGGATCAGCTGTCAGATTCACACAGGGCATGGCCACCCCCTCCCAGCCCCACCCCCTCCAAGAAATGGACAAACAAAGTCGCAGCACCCTAAACCCTAAACCCTAAACCCTAAATGCGGCTTGGGGCCTGGTAGGACACCAGCTGGCAGTCGGCGAAGCCATGCACTGCGCTCACACCAAAGCCCGTCATGAAGGTGAGCTCAAATCCTTGGTCCCGCAGGCTTCTTAGGATCGTGGCCTTCAGGATTTAGGGGTTAGGGGTTTAGGGTTTAGGGTTTCAGAACCCCACCAGTACCCTAGAAGCTCCGAGGAAAAGCCTGCAAGGCCCTACGACCACTAAACCCTAAACCCTAAACCCTCAACCCTAAACGACTTCAGGTCCCCTTTCGTAGCCGCGGGGCCCATGCGCTCGATGAGGCGGGCAGTGAGGCCGTCATAGCCTTGGCGCGGCTTTGAGTGCTCCACCAGAAAACCCTAAACCGTAAACTCTAAACCCTGAACCCTACACCCTAAAACCACAAACTGTTTGCCCTAAACCCTAAACCCTAAACCTCCCATCGTCTGAAGCCAAAGGTTCTGAGTGCCATAGGTGTGCCATGGGTGTGCCTTAGACCCAACCGCCCTACCTGACTTTAACCAAACCCTAAGCCGAAAACCTCACACCCCACGTAAATCAAGATTCAAAGGCTCCTGGGGATCTCGCTGGACATCCTTTGCAGGGGTACCTCTTTTAAAGATTCACTACGGGCCTAGAGGGGTCCGGGGCACGGTACCGCTGTTTAAAGCAACACCTCCCAATCATGAGGGGCACACATGCCGATTTGACATCCTACTCGCACAGGAGCCAGTCTGAAATGTCGCGAAAGTCTTCTAAACGATGCATTCGGAGGTGAGCCCTTACGTCCTGGGGCTGATGATGCAACAGGTGCTGCATGTAAGACTGGGCCACTTGAAGCTCGCAGTCGTCAACGTGCCCACGCCAAGGCGTGACTTTAAGTAGGTTATGTATGCTAGCACCATCCACATGCTTGCCTGCTTCCACACCGACGCAGGTCAAGTGCACAAGAGAATCTCTGCGAAAGGTCCTGCCCAATGTCTCAGATGCTGACAAGACCGACGCAAGATTCTTCATGTGCATGTGAACCTGTGAGCCATCGTGGCGACAGGAGGGGCGCTTCTCCCCAAAGCTTTCATCGAAAACCCACAGCCGGCGGCCAGTTCGAGATTCTTTGAGCACAAATCCGTGAGCACGTTGCCGCTGGAGCCAAGAACATCCTGTGGCCTTCTCTAGCAGCTCCTTGACCACCCGGAAAGAGTCGCTGCCAGAAAAACTGGTGCAAAAGCCCAGTTGACAGCGACCAGCATCCTGCTGCCGCAGGAGGAAACGGAGGAACTCGGCCGCCAGCGGCCGGTACTTTACGTGCTCGATGTCCCCTGTCTTGCTCCGGCGAGAGCTCAGGAGTGTCTTCAAATCCAGGAGAACCTCAGCTGTTCCTAGTGTATGTAATCAAGGCATGACTCGACTCGTTTTATGGTCCGAATGTAACCACCTAAGAGAAAGAGAAGGACGACCGACCACGTGCAGCAACAATGCCACGCCTAGACATTACGTATACAGTCTTGGGGAAAGGGAGAATGCGAGACGATCGAGGAACCAGGTAAACACCACTGGCACCTGGCCCATCAACTTGCCCATCCAGCCTGACCCTGCCATCTGCAGCCACAGATTTTGCCCCATCGGCTGCGGCCTCGCCAGCCACTGACTTCGGCCTCATGAGGCTCACCAGGCTTGAGTCCGTGGTGGCGGTCTCACTCACAGCATCGGAGCTGGTGAAGATGTCGGACTCAGCAGCTCTTTGCGGGCAGTGGGGGCAGCCGCGTTCACGGCAGCGCCGGCCTCGGCAAAGAAAGATCCGAGTGGGCCGGCCACCCAGTCGACCTAGGCAGTTGCTCTGTGGGCATTGAAAAATGTGGATGCTGCGGGCACCGCAGAAGTCATGGTAGAAGCACTTCTCCATGGCAAGGCCCAAGCTGGAGGCTGAATTTAGATTGCCTTCTGAAGTAGGTCCTTGCATGGTGCTAACTTGCAACGGTTCCAAGGAGGGATACGCGTGAACTTCTGAAGCAAAATCTTGACTACGACGCATGCCGCCTGGCAGCTCCTTGCCCCATCTATTCCCCTAGGCTCTCCCTAATCCCTAAACTCTAAACCCGAAACCCTAAACCCTAAACCATGAACCCTGAACCCTACTAGTCTCCTTGTATGGAAGCTAGACAAGCTGAGCCTGAAGCTGCAACGAATGGCGCCGACAGCTTGGAGCCAGTACTAGACCCAAGGGTAGCCTAGCAATGACAGGGGTTTAGGGTTTAGGGTCTAGGGTTTAGGGTTTAGGGTTTAGGGTTTAGGGTTTAGGGTTTAGGGTTTAGGGTTTAGGGTTTAGGATTTAGGGTTTGGGGGTGTCCCAGGAATGAAAAAAGGGGCCTTTTTGGTTTAAAGGGGCTTTTCGGGGAACCTAAACACTCAAACAAGAGGGAATAAGGGCCTACTCCGGGTCCGAGAGTACTTTGTTTTTATAGCTTGGGGTTTAGGGTCTTGGTGGCCCAGTAGCTAAAAGATAATGAAGGTACCGGTGCCTTTTTGGAGGCTGGGTTACTATTTCGGGAACCTAGAACCAAAAAAGGAGCGAAAGGGTACCGCAACCACCCAAGGGGTGAGGGTTGAGGGCTTCGACGCTCGCACTTGCACATGCCCGAGGGTCTGCAGTCATGGTTTCATCGCTCACACGCGACAGGCAACGTAGCAAAAGGGCTACTTCATGTCTTGTCGTGTCCCTCAACAGTAGATCCCGTCGAACCTGTTGTAGTACTAAACCCCAAACCCCAAACCCCAAACCCCAAACCCCAAACCCCAAACCCCAAACCCTAAACCCTAAACCCTAAACTCTAAACCCTAAACCCTAAACCCTAAACCCTGAACCCTAAACCCTAAACCCCAAGCCCAGCAAGGCCAGCGGCAGCATGGCATGACGATGATACCTTTGCGCTCGGCCAGCAGCTTCCGAAGCCTCGTGGGGTTTAGGGCTGGGCCCTTTATGAAAGGGGTTTAGGGTTTGGGGTTTAGGGTTTAGGGTTTAGGGCTTGGGGTTTAGGGTTTAGGGTTTGGGGCTTGGGGTTTAGGGTTGGGGGTTTAGGGTTCTTTCGTGACAGCTACCTGTGACAAGGCGAAGCTGGCATGACGAGTGGAGGGATGCTGAGATCATGGGGGCGTGGGGACCTGGTGCCGAAAACACTCCAGAGACTCTTCTGCCCCTTACTAGGCTTTTAAGCACTATATTCCTTGGATCATGTCAGCTAGGACCCGTATTGTATGGTAGGCAACTTTTCGTAACTAAGGGGTCTTGGGGATCTTCGGGGTACAAACATACCTCGCAGCCTGCCTGGCGGCAGGTGTTCCAGTTCCCTCGGAACGTGGCCGCCGGGGCTCCGAACCATTGGCCACGACCTCAACGCTGTCAGGTGTTTTTTTGGGTTCCTCGGGGTGTGAAAGCTTCGTCCTGCTGTTTTGGGCCTTTGTAGGCTGCAACATCAGGGTGCTATCGAGTGGAAGGACACAGCCAAAGATATGGATGATGAATGAACCTACCACTTGGCAGATATTCATACTTTCCTGCAAACCGTCCAAGACAGTGCAGTTGGATTCGGTGGCATTTGGGTGTTTCCTAAAAACAGGTACCCCAAGAGACAAAAAATCACCCTTGGCAGGCTGCAAAATTCAAATTTTCAGCTACTTTATTAAGAGGCCTATGAAACCCCAACGGCTATGGATCGAAGCTCGGAGGAAAGAACCAAAGACACCCCCCCCCCCCCAAAAAAAAAAAGAAAAAAAAGAGAAGGGGTTTAGGGCTTAGGTCGGAAACCCTCAAAAAGACATCGACCGCTATTGGACTGTTGGAAGTTCTTGAGATGTGCTGCAAGTGCTTCGCAGAGTCTGTGCGCGCCCGCAGCAGACCCTGAGCCCTACTAGCACCTGGCCGCGTATACCCGTTTTTCCCTACAACCCCTTCTTTAGGACCTAACTACCTTCCTCAGCATCGTAACGTTACCATACAAGAAGGTACCCCTAAATGGGGTAGGCTTCAGGTAGCCCGAAACCCTAGACCCGAAACCCCACACCCTAATCCCTAAACCCCGAAACACTAGTTAAACCCTAAACCCTAAACCGGGTAATATGAGCCTAAACCCTAAACCCTAAACCCTAAACCCTAAACCCTAAACCCTAAACCCTAACCCTAAACCCTAAACCCTAAACCCTAAACCCTAAACCCTAAACCCTAAACCCTAAACCCTAAACCCTAAACCCTTCTGACTAAACCCTAAACCCTAAGCCCTATGAACCTTATGGGTCAAACCGAAGCCGGAGTCTCTCAAGGGCCAGCTTCAGAAGAAGAAAAGCGTGGATCTGACAACCCAGAACCCCAACTTGCGGTTTAGGGTTTAGGGTTTAGGGTTTAGGGTTTAGGGTTTAGGGTTTAGGGTTTAGGGTTTAGGGTTTAGGGTTTAGGGTTTAGGATGATTTCGGACCGAAATCCTAAAACCCCAAGGTTTCGGGGAATCCGGCTTCCTGCAAACCATATGCTAAAGATTCCTAGGCCCCTGTTGCAAGTGGTCTCCCTCCGGATGAAGGGTTGTAGAGTTTAGGGTCTAGGGTCTAGCGCTTAGGGTCTAGGGTCTAGGGCTCAGGGTTTCGGGCTAGGGTTTAGGGTCCAGAGTTCAGGGTTTAAGGGCCAGGGGTTGAGGGCTGTGAACTGTCCGGATGTAACAGACGCCCTACATGAGGAGACCGGGTGTAAACTTCGTAAGCAAAACGCCGCTGAAATATCCCGAAGACCCTTACAAAACCCTAACAAGACCAAAACCCTAAACCCGAAACCCCCAAAATACCATAAAACCCCGCGCGAAAGACCCTAAAAACCCGAAACCCCAAAAATTCCCTAAAACCTCATGCGTGAAAAGCTCGAACCCCTAAAGAGCCGGGAAACTGCAGCGGCAACTCGCGCAGCTTCTGCTTCCGAGGCTTTACGCCGACCTTTGCTCAGTGCACATCGAGGGCGTACGCAAGCCCTAATGCACCTCAGGTTTTGGGGGGTTCGGAGCACCTCAGGGGGTTTAGGGTTTAGGGTTTAGGGTTTAGGGTTTAGGGTTTAGGGTTTAGGGTTTAGGGTTCGGAGTTTAGGGTTTCATTGGGCTTAGGGTTTCTATAGGGTTGTAGGGGTTGGGGTTTAGGACAGACCAGTGCTGCATGGAGGGTTGCCCAGGCTCCCCTCGATTTGCTCGGGGAAAGGGCGTGTAAGCGACTGCATCATAGCGGGTACGTGCCTATTTGAGAAAATTTATCCCTAAACCCTAAACCCTAAACCCTAAACCCTAAACCCTAAACCCTAATTAAACCCTAAACCCTAAGCATACAGGCTCTTGGCATGCAAGCACCTGTTGTGCGGAGTTGTGCGCACTTCGCGGCTTGTGGGTCTGGAGCTTTGCCGGGATAAGGCTGTCACCCCAAACTCCCTTCGTGGAGGTTCTTGGGTGCTTGTAACCCCAGAAAAAAGTCTACTTATAAACTCCCCAAACTCCCTACTTGGAGGTTCGTGGGCACTTATAACCACAGTACTAAGTCTACTTATAAACTACTTAGAGGACTTTGGGGGCTTGTAAGTGCAGTAGTTGTTGGTCGGTCTTGCGGGTTCAGTTTTGGATTTGGCGGAAAACCCGGGTCTTACTCAGTTGACTACTTGGAGAGAAATATATCCAGTACTACTCCGGGTTTTGAGACGGCGTGTGCTGCCCAATATGTTTTGAAGCCCACACATCAGGTCTCCAGTCCCTAAACCCCCTCCCACGCGCCGCCTCAGCCAAGAATCCAAAACCCTAAACCCTAAACCCTGGACCCTGAACCCTGAACCCTAAACCCTAAACCCTCAACCCTAAACCCAATAAGCCACATAAACCCGAAACTGAAAACACCCTGAGCACTGCGAGCCCCACTGGCTTCCCATGGGTGCAGTATCCACGAAAACCTTCTTAAGAAACATATCTTTAACATTCCCTTAAACTGAAAAAATCATGAGAGGGGGCTATAGAAGTGGTGCTTGGAGCTCATTTAGCGAGCCCCCCCCCCATACAGGTGTCTTGTCTTTCGGGTTTCTTGTGGCTTTCTTAGGGGCGACTGGTTTGTGAACTTTAAGCTTCCAGCTTCTGAAGAGGAGGAAGGGCCTTATGAAGACCCGAAATGGGAAGAACATGCCGCCTCTGCTGTAGACAGCATTGTTGCGTGAGGCTTCCAGCCTAACCACTACAATGGAAACGCCACTTTTGGCACTTTGCGCGTACTACGCCGCTCCCTTTTCTTGCGACTTGCTTGTAGCTATGAGGGGGCCCGGGGGGTCGGCCATATTCAACACTAAACCCTAACCCCTAAACCCTGAACCCTGAACCCTAAACCCTAAGCCCTGAAGCCTAAACCCTAAACCCTGAACCCTAAACCCTAAACCGCAAACCCCAAACAACAAGAGATGTGTCAAAGGGCCCAAGCGCGAGGTGAAGAAGAGGGCCAGGATGCCTCAGGCCGAGCACTCCCGCTTTTTTACAAGCAGGCGGCTTAGGGTTTAGGGTTTAGGGTTTAGGGTTTAGGGTTTAGGGTTTAGGGTTTAGGGTTTAGGGTTTTTTTTTGCCACCCGCCTAGCAGACCCTCAAGGATCACTCCGCAGGGAACAGTCTGGTCCGTACATGGTTCACTTGGGCAAAAAGGGCCCCGACACAGCCCCACAACCCCAAACCCCCAATCCCAAACCACAACACCATCTGAAGCCACGCCCAGTCAGAGGGCTCGGGTATGCGGGGCTGCCTCCAGGCCTGGTACTTCGCTCCTCCCGCCCTTTCAGGTGGTTCAGGACCGGCACCAAGATTGAAACACGGTAATCAGGGCAGGCTACACCCTATTGCGTATCGCGCCCTATGGCAG